TATATACCACATTGCAGCAAGCAATTAGTCTATAATCTGCTGGAGACATAGGGGTTTTAGTTTTGGGGATAAGGGAGATGTTAGTTGCATTGATTTGCTTCAGGGTTTTTCCTCTCTTAAAGAACTCCCGTTCTGTAACAAGTCTGCCCATTATGCTCCACTATTTCCTGAAGAAACCACTATTAAATCCATCAAGGCGTGGACTTTTGGAATTAGGAATGGAAAATATAGCCTCCTTCACCTGTAAAGGAGTAGATTCCTTGATTAGTTCAATCTGATGGTTGACAACCAGCTTAAAGCCTTTTGTTAGGACTCTTACATCCACTTCTTGGCAGGGGTTATAGGAGCCCAGGATCTTTTTGTAATATGAGATAAAGATATTTGCAATCTGGTCTGTCCCTTATACAACCTTATTATTCTCATCTTGGATATTAATAATGTAGTTCCGAATTTTCCTTTTTTTAACCCATGCATAGAATAATTTAGAATTCCCATCTCCTTCAATAATCCATCTTTCTTTGGCTTGCTGACTCTTTAAAGCTTGTGATGCTCTACTTTTCTTATATAGTTCAGCCTTGAGTGTTTGTTCTTCCTCCACAAGAGATTCACTCTAATTTATCTTGAGATTAGATTAGACTTTCAACAGTTCCTCCCTTATATCCTCCACCTACTTGTGGATTTTATGATAATTGTTCTTGTAAAGTTCAGATAAAGGAATATTTAATCTTTTTAGGTTATGCACCATCTTGAACATACTTCTATCCTCCCCTTCCTCCTTCGAGTTAGTGCTTAAGATGCTGGGGAACTTCTGATCTTGCATCCACATATCACAAAATTTAAAACTCTTGGTTCTAGGTTTCCAGTTAATATTCTTCAGTAATAGGGGAGAATGATATGACACTCCCTCCTCCATTATCACTATCTTGGTATTAAAGTAATCCATCTAGTTCAAATTAGCCAGGGCTTTGTCCAATTTTGAACTGATTCTTCTGTCTTCTTTTTGCTTGTTGGACCATGTATGGTAAGGACCTTTTGATGGGATTTCATCCAAGCCACAATCCACTATATATTCCTTAAAATTCTGGGTTTCATCAGATGTGATTGGGTTCCCTCCCTTTCTATCCTCCACATTCAACACAACATTGATATCACCAAGAATGCACCATGGGCCTATAATAGTGGAAGAGTATTCTCTTATTCTGGTCCAAAGCTGCCTTCTAATGGTAATATCATTGGACCCGTAGACAAAGGTAATGAAAGCATACTCTTGGGAGTCAAGATGTCTGAATTTGCAATGGTCAGCTTCATGAGTTGAATCAATCACCTGAGCAGTCACCTTATTCTTATTCCACACCACCCATATTCTTCCTAGAGGGTGAAGATCACAGTTTGTGAAGAATTCCCAACCACCAAACATCTTATTTAGGATCTCTTCCTCTTTATTCCTCTTAATCTTAGTTTCTAATGTACCCATAAGACAGACTTTATATTTATTAATAATATTAATAACTTCCCATTGTTTAGTATGATTATTTAGCCTTCTAATGTTCCAGCTTAAGATCATGTAAAAAAATAGATAATGACCATCAAATGGGGTATTTCTTTTCATCCCTATATCCTCTAGTATCACCCTCTTTTCATACAAATTAGAGAGTAAATTTCATAAATCATTTCCAATTAGAGACAAATTTCCATATTTAGTCTCCAATTATAAGATATTCTATAAATTGTCTTCAATTTTTGAAAACTATTTCTTAATTGACCCTTCAGGGACTATCTATGGATATTTTTGTCATATTTGGTGAAAAGGACTATTTGTGGAATCATTTTCAAAAATTAGGGACTGTTTATGGAATATCATATAATTGAGGACTAAATATGTAAAACTACCTATAATTAGAGACAATTTATGAAATTTACTCTAAATTAGATAACATAATATTTCAAGAGTATTTTGCAAGATAAATCTAATAAATTTGTTATTGTATTAGTATATAATATAAATTTTATTTACTAAATGGTCAAAGTTTATAAAGTTTTGCTACAATAGGTAAAAATTAAAAAAAAAGACTTTAGGACAAAAAAAAGCTCCTTCCATCCTAAAATATTTCTCAAATTTGACCCTTTGTAGTTAACCAAGATCAATATTTGACCTAGAATAAAAAAATATTATATAGCAGATTAATTAGATAAACTAATATTTTAAAAATGTTATGCAAGATAAATGTAATTAAATTGTTTTTTATAAATGTTTAATATCAATTTTTTGTTTAAAATTCAAAGTTTATCAATTTTGAATGCAAAATGTCAAAACTGGACAAAAACTTTACGTAAAAAAATGCTCATTTTACTATTATTCCCTTCTTTCTAAAATTAAATATTTACCATTTCAGTTTACAAGGTTTGACCAAGTATGTTTTTAATTCAATTTATTTGATTATCGCTATAAAATTTTAAAATAAAATTTATATATTTAAAAAACTATATCAAACTTCTATAATACTTTGGTAACATCACTATATTATTTTATCAAATAACTAATGAAAATAAGGTAAAAAGTAAATAAAATTTGAAGATATAAATAACAATTGGAAAATGATTTTAGGACGAAGGGAGTAATTTTTTTAAAAGTTTTGTTGCTAAGAATTTATTTAAAACATGTTTTCGCAATATTATGAAAATAAATAGTAAGCATCGGAAAATTATTTGTGAAAATTAACATTGTAAGTCTCCGTGTCATTTTTGCGAGACACGCAAGAAATTGCAACTGTCGGTGTATAAAGTATGATGTGAGATTTTTCGTTCAACTAGTATCACACTCGTGCGTTGCACAAGTCATTTTTATGTTATTAAATTCAAATCATTTTTCAATGATAAAAATGAGATGCTATAGAATATTTTAAGGTAAAAAACATCACTGCATTACAAATTTCGAAATACGTCTTTATAGACTACATTATTTGTACAATTTGTGGGAATATTGTCTTCATTGCATAATAAAATCTTCAACCCACTACGATTAGTTACTCTTGAAACAACAACATAGAGTTGTCCATGATTAAACACAGGTTTCCGTAACAATACTCCAACATGTTTTAGAGATTGTCCCTGGCTCTTGTAAATCGTCTTTGCGTATGAAGTAACCACAGAGAATTGTCTTCTTTGAAACTTGAATGGAATTCTTGTATCGGACGGTGTTAATGATAGTTTTGGAATAACGACTTCTTCACCCACGTGGCTTTCTGATAATATTTTTTCTTGTGTTGAGTGATTAGCCAACCGGGTTATCGTCAACTGTGTGCCCAACCGGGTTACTATCAACTGTGTGCCATTACATAAACCCATTGAATGGTCTATATTTCTCAACAATAGTCGTGAAAAATAACATCCAATCCAATGATTTCGGCCACCGAGAATGAGTAATAGATTATCGACCAATGAATCTTTCCAATAATAATAATAATAGGAGAAACAATAAAAAAAGGAATTAAAGCAATAAATGTGAGAAACTAATTCAATTCACAAATCTACAATTCCTCCGTATTTCTCCTTGATCCCCCGTGAGCACTTGAATCTGCGCCATCTTGACGAAAGACTCCGTGAACTTGCGGAACCATTCGGCCTCGTCGCCGGCAAACTTCTCCACCAGCGGTTCCGTTCTCGAATCGGAGGCCAGCAGTTGATCGGACTCCAGCAACGCCTTCTTCTTCAGCAGCTGCCTGTAGAAAACGGAGTCCATTCGGTAGTTTGTCACGCTATCCATTGGGACTGTATGCCTCTTGTTCAGACATTGGAATCCCATCACCACCTTCATCGACCCCTCCACTTCTCTTGCTTTCTTTGGATCCTTTAGCCTATACCTGCGGATCGGAGGAGGATTAACCAAAGATTCCAAATTGTTACTACATACGGTACTAATTTTGATTCACATTTTCTAGCTCCGGGGACTAGTTTGAGTCAAGTAAGGGTTGTTTTTAGGTCGGGACCAAAAAAGTTGATCGAACTAGACCTTAAGGTCCAGACTGTACCGGATCGAATGGATTTTGGATCCAACTTCGATCCAAAAAAATTAGACATTCGGGTTCCCGTCAGGTCTTGTCTGAACTCGAAATAATTTAGGTCCGACCAATTGGCCCGAGTGGACTTAATACTATTGGACCTAAAAGATCAAAACACTAAAACTCTACTTTTTAAGTTTGGTATTATGCGTTGATGCTCTATTTTGATATATCTATCTTAATTTATTTAATTAACAAGGTTTTTAATTAAGTAATTTTTTAAATAAGTCAAAATAATGTTCCACACTACTTTTGATGATTATACATTGAAGCAGTCCATGTGTATCTATTTTTAGTTTTTCTTTTTATTTTATTTTTTCCTGTTTGCACACTATAAATTTAAAGAGCAATGCTAGGGGTACACCAAAAGGTGTACTCCAAATGTACACCACCCCCTTCTCCACCATACATTTTTATTTGATTTTTATTTACTTATTTTTTTAAATTTTTTTTGCCTTTTTTAGTGGACAAGGAGGGGGTGAGGTATACACCTTTGGTGTACTCCTAGCATTTTTCAAATTTAAAAGCCTAAAATATAGATGGGAGATGCTAGGGGTACACCTTTTGGTGTCCCCCATTTGTACACCAACCCATCCATAATCACTCATTTATTTTTGAAAAATGCTAGGGGTACACCTTTGGTGTACCCCATTTGTCCTCCACCCCCTCCATTACCACTTAAATAGGCAAGAAATTTAAAAAAAATTAAGTAAATAAAAATAAAAAATAAATGAGTGGTTATGGAGGGGGTGGTGTACAAATGGGGTACACCTTTTGGTGTACCGTAGCATCTCCCTTTATTTTTTTTATTTTTATTTACTTATTTTTTTTAATTTTCTTGCCTATTTGAGTGGTAATGGAAGGGGTGGAGACAAATGGGGTACAGCTTTGGTGTACCCCTAGCATTTTCCAATATAAATAATGGATCAAAATAATACGGAGCAACAAAGTATTTTTTTATTCGGTCCGACTGGTCAATGAGTTTGGACCGGTTTGGTCTTCAGTATTTCAGTCTATAGTCCGGTTTGATAAAAAACTGAATTGGTTTAGGTCCAATCTTTGATCCATGGTTTTGCGCAATTCGATCTTGAGTCCGGTCGGGTTGGATTTGATCTGGTCTGGGATCGATGAACAAGCCTAACTTGTGAGTACCAATTCAATGACAAATTAATAACTCCTTCGATGAAAATATTAATAGAATGGACATAGAAATGCCTGAAATTAGAGCAATGAGCAACGCCAATGGAATGCGCACCCAATAGCGCCACCATATCCTGTACATCGAGCCCTTTGGTCTCAAACAAACGCACCAGCTGATCCACGGTGTTGTTGGGGGAGGCGATGTATTTCACGACGTCCTCTTCCCGGGACGTCCTGCCGTCGCGCCGCCCGCCGGGGACGTCAAACCCCGGCAGCCCGGACAGAACAAGGGCGTCGCGGGACAAGAATGCGAGTATGTCGGCGCACGATACGACGCCGGGGCATTCTTTCTCCACCGCCTCCTTCGCACTGTCGATCAGATCGAACCCCCGTACGGTCTTTCCGTTCGCCGGAGCTTGTTTCTCCACCCGGCCTCCCCCGTCCGCCTGGTCTAGCAGAACAGATCCGTCACACCCCTGCACATTCCATAAAATTTGTCTTAATTTTCCACTCAAATGGGATTAGAGTTAAACATTGCCCTTTTGTTCAAATTAAAATTTATGTTTGTTTGCGGTGATACATTTTGATGATCAATGTCTCTGTTTATACATATTTGCATGCTTTAATTTGAAAATATGATGTTGTAAAACTACGTTTCAAATACGTACATTTTTGGTATATTATGGTCCACGTTTGAAAGAATATAATTAAAGTTGGCAAAAAAAATGATTTTCTTATATCAAAATAAGACTTTTAATATTTTTATATTAAAATATGACTTATATTATAAGATTATGCCAAAGCATAATGCCAGATTGCTAGGAGATATTAAGAGGATTTTATAGCATCAATGTTCATATTTATTAGAGGTAAAAAATACAGAGAATGAGGTTTAATTTGGTCCAAATTTCATATTTTAGCGTTTTTTAGATTGATATCCTATATTTAAAAATTAAATCATGACCAACTAAAGTCAATCCGAAAGAAAAATTTTAGTCAGGGGATTGGAGTAATTAAATAAAAATTGCATCGCATATTAATACAATGGATTAATTTTTTGATAGTATCATTTTTGTATTCTTGTGCAATGCAATATTTATAACTAACGACAAAAAATTCTATCGATTAGGACAAATGCATTGATATACTTCTTCCGTCCCGTGTATTTATCCATTTCATCTTATTTTTTCTTCATTTCATTAGGTGAATGTTTGAGTGTTTTGATTTGGCATAATCAATTTGGAAACGATGAAGGCTCACATTGACGAGGCAGTCATGACTTTGGAGGCGAACCATGGCGGCGGCGAGGCCAGAGTCATTCTGGAATGCATTAAACATGACATCTTTGACAATTTCCTCTGCCCTTGGGCAAATCTGGTTGTAGAACCCTACTTGCACTCCGCCTCCATTGTCGCCTCCCTCGCGTTGGGGAGGAGAAAATGGGTTGAAAAGAAGGTCTCCTAAGGGAGAAGAAGATGTCTGGGCAATCAGAGATATCATGCAGGTGATGGCAAAAATTCCAAGAATTCTTGCCATCACTGCAATGCCTTGGAAGTGCTCAATGGAAATGAATGTTTTTTTTTATCTCATTTCAGAAGACATGTTATGAATGAGAATGGCTGGGAGAATTTTAAGGATATCTTTTGGAGGCCAAGGACATATATGTGAAGGGGGTTTCTTGTTTCAAATTTATATAATACTCGCATCTATAACTACATTTTGATAGAATGTTATGTTAGGTGTTAGTTAGCATTTTGAATAACTTATTAATAATACTCCATCTTTTCAAAAAGTCCTTCACGTTTCAAATAAAACGTGTCCCTAAACGTCCTCTGCATTTCTATTAAAAATCCACTTTTACCGCTTACTTTTTCATACCCTACTTATCACCACTCATACCCTTTTCCTAATAATCTACACATCACATCCTACTTTTCTCTATCACATCAAGGGTATTTTTGGAAAATCAACACAAAATCATTCGTCTCTTATTTTACCATTTTACTCAGATCAATATGTCCCTACCTTTTTGGGACGGAGGGAGTATAATATTATACGGAGTATTGCCCAACAAAATCATATCTATATTTGCGGTATATATTTTTCTTTCCTTATACAAATTTACAAAAAAAAAATTCCTATGAATAACTTTGTTTTAGGGACACTTTGAGTTTCTCCCAGGCCCTCCATAATAAAAATAAGTGCCCCAAACATGATTAACCCCTCCCTGTATGTCATAGCAGTTTGGCTTATCAGCCAAAAGTTTGAGATTAGGCAAAGGGAGGAGGCTATTGTCCCAATCAACCACTTGCAAATTTCTAAAATAAGAAGCCCTCCCAAACCCTTCCTTGGCAAAATGTCCACTCCCCATTTGGGTTGATGTGTGAGTTGTGGGGCTGTCACTGTTCACAACCTCCCCTCCAAATTGTACCATGCTTGCAGCAGATGTCCTAAGATGGGTAAACAAGAAAGATGGCCAATATCCCACTATTCTTCCTGACCCAAACTCTAGCCACCAATCCCCTCTTTTTGGATCCTGCAAAAAAAAAATTACATTTAATATTTCATGAGTAGTGCGACGAAATACACGAGACAACAGTGACGGATTCAGAAAATTTGCTGATCGAGGAGCACCGTACCTTAGCTTAGATAGTGGAGGATCTATAAGAAAAAGTTTTATTGGGGGCGGCACGTTCGATAAGTATGGATATGGGGCGCTGAGCCCCACCCCAGCAGTAAGGGTGCGACTTAGGATAACTAACACAAAAATATACGGTTCACTCAACGATTGTCTTTGCGAAATGACAAAAAATTTAATCGCATTTCATCTCAAACAATCACTCGAAAATTGAAATGAAGTTTCATTTAGTATTCAAAATTTGAAGAACACTTGATCGAACATCAAAAGAAATACGTACACACGCAACTTAAAATTTGAGCTCTACTATTAATTATATACAACTTGAACTTACAAACAAAAAAAATACAAAAAGAAAAGAAAGAAATTTTCAGTTAGACATTTTTTTCATACATACACTTTGAAGGCAAAACTATATCAATAAAACGTATCAATTGATATTTAAGTACAACAATACATTTTAATAATTGTACTACGAAAAATATGGAAATTAAATAAAAAAAAATATTTGAGTATTTGTTGATTAAATTTGTTCAATTTGATTTGAAAAAATTTAAAATGTACAAATATCCTAGAATGGATGTAATCTAATTTTTGGTACATGGATGGGTGTAATCTTTGAATTTTCAATATCAACATTGAGATGTAAAAAGATATTGAAAATCTACTTGGAAATGGTGAGAGTGGTGTTTGCTTAGCTTGGAAGAGAGAAGAGCAAAGAGAATCTGACAAAGTGCAAAACATAGTCATAGACATAGTAATAAATAAACAAACACAATAGTTTCTCCCGTGCATGTTTAATTAATACCACTATACTAATTGCTAAAGTGCACGCGCCTAATGCCTTACATCTGGCGCATTATACCCATTACTAATTTACTATACAAATTATGTGGTACATGTCCTATTGATCAAAATCTAAACAACTACCCCATGGGCTAATGTGCGCCTAGAGGTGGCAATCGGATCAACCGGATCGGTTTTGAGTTAGATTTTTTCGGTTCGGATATCTTTCGGTTATATATTATAATCGGTTCGGTTCGGTTCTGATTGGTTAAATTTCGGTTCGGATTTGATTTCAGTTCTATACATTTTTCGGTTCGGTTCGGATTCGAGTCGGTTCAGATACGGTTCGGTTATAAATCGATTCGGATAAATTTTGGTTCGGATACAATTTGAGTCAGATATATTTCGGTTTTGGATCAAATATATTTTGGATATATATTATTTTCTAATTAAAATTTAACTATTTGTGTTTCTTTTTATGTTTTATCACATTTATCAATCTATCATCAATTCAATACCTCATATTATTTTATATTTTTTTCTAGTTATATTATCTCTATCCTAAATAATCTTCCCTTTTTGACTTTTTAGTCATATTTTACAAATTTGGACTACAAATTATGAAAACATATATATTTAATTATGATATAAATTTAATATAATTAAATTGATTTTAAAATTTAGTTTTGAAATATCAAATTTTTCTCACATCTACTACTCCATAATATACTTATGTACATAATTGAAAGGATAAAAGATAAATTCAAATAGTCTTATGTTCCATTTGAATACAATGTGGTAAAAATTGAGTGAAATTGGGTGAAATTAAGTAAATTTTATTCAATTGAGTGCAAAATTTGTAAATTATTGAGTATATTTGGTTGAAAATAGAGAAAATTAAATTTAATAGAGTCAAATATAATTAATTTTACACCTAAATGTAATGGTGTAGATCAAATCTGAAAATGATAATAGCAAAGGCTGCCGCTAGAGAGTCTTCTCAAAATGCTAACACCAGCATCTAATTTTTTTGACTAATATTGAGTGAATTGGTTTGCAACTAATCAAATTAACTCTCAAATCAATAAAATTTATTGTAATGAGATGAAATTAGGATAAAATCTAGTTATTCCAAACAATTCATCATATATTCCTTTCGTCCCAAAAAGAATATCACACTTCACTATTTAAAAATTACGCAAATTTTATTTGTTTGTGCGTTATCATTTATATATATAACTTATCTTTAATTTCTACATATAATAAATTTAAGGCATAAAATTTTGTACTTTTTTTCAAGAAGATAATCCATTTTATGAGGGAATTAATGAGCAAGTAATGTAATTAGTTCAAATGGTAAAATAAAAGTAAAAATTGAAAAATATAATATGCTTATTGAAAGACAAACATAGTTCTGAATTTATCAATTTTAGTTCTAATCGGGTTCGGATATTATCGGTTTCGGATTTTATCAGTTTCGGGTATTATCGGGTTCAGGTTTAATCGGTTCGGATATTATCGGTTTCAGATCTAATCGGTTTCGGATTTAAATCGGATATGAATTATTTAGTTCGGTTTCGGTTCGATTCGGATGATTTCGGGTTTTCAGTTATAGATCGGATCTTCATTTTTCGGGTCATTCCGGTTTTAGTTTCGGATATTTCGGTTCGGGTAATCAGTTCCGGTTCTGTTTTGCCAGGTCTATGTGCGCCCATGTCTTTCCCCAATTCTTCTAAGATCCCGTTTGACATCAACATTAGAGCTGTAGAGGTTAGCGTTATCATTTTAAAATATTATCTGGCGGTAGTCTTTAGTGTTTGTAGAATTAATTTATATCATTAAAATTTATCAAAACGCTAACGATAAGAGAAAAAGACTAACGTAGGAGTAAACGATTGAAAATATACAAAAATAAGACTTCCATGTTTTTATTCCCAAAATAGGAGTAAAAATGCATTTACATTACCAAAAATTGTCATGTACATTACCAAAAATTATATTCCGTAGTAATGTGCACATGTACAGTGTCACATTACAACCACATTACTACAGTGTGAAGTCCTATTTCGGGAATAAAAACATGAAACACCTATTTTGATACTTTTTTATGTTTTAGTCATAGGTAGGTTGATTTCTTAATTGATTGTTCCCAAACAAGATCAAAATAATTAGAGAGAGTATCAAACCCCACCGAGAAAAAAATGAATCTCTTTGGCTTACTAATTAAAAAATGAACACATATTTTATTGTCATAAAGTTGATAATATTCAAAAAAGAAATTGATCCCTGAACATTCACGATATAAGCATAAAATAGAATTTGGTCATGTTCTTCCATTTTGGGTACTTTGATTAATTGCTTATCAGAATTAGGGGTGTTCATCGGGTCAAACTCAGACTGGGACCGAATATAATAAGGGATATTTCTTGGACCGATGACCGGACCGAATTTATTAAGGACCGGCCCGGAACTGGATTGGTAAACCCCGGACAGGGACCGGACTGAATAAATGTGATTCTTTATTTTAAAAAAAATTATTTTTTATTTAATTTAAAGTACTCAATTGAACAGAATTATTGCTATAATAAATTTATAATATGTAAGATACACTAAACATTGTAAAAAACCATTATTTTAAATTTTTAACAAATTTTAAATAAATATATCCTCTATCGTTTTTGTTGGGAATAAACGCACGCGGAAACAACACACAATCACGAATCAACTGCAGAAAAATAAACGACACATGATTTAACGTGGTTCGGCCGCCAACTGCAACCTACGTCACACGGGGCAACTAGGAGGATTTTATTATTTTTTTGTTGCACGCAATTACAAGCACATTAGCATCTCTTAAATAGAGATTAGTTAGGGAGACAATGATTAAGCCGTAAGCTTCTAGGTAGCTTCCTGCCAATTTCCTGTTAGCTTCCACCTATCTTCCTGGCTTCACACTCAACAATCTCCCACTTGAAGCCACGGAACAATGTTCACCTGCGCTTCAACTGTGCACATGTACTTCTGTAATCTGATAACGGAACTCAAAATTCCACCACCTCTAGTTGCCACCAGCCTTCTTGATCATCGAGAAGACTCTGTTGAAACTCTCCTGAGTTTCAACCCATCAGTCATGGCTTGAACTGCCCCTGACTCATCCTCGGTCCCTACCGGCTCCCACTGCACACACGCACTGCCGGATCCTGGAACATCCTGA